TTTTCATAATATAGTGAGGAAACTTACGAGCTCAGTTGATAAAACCAAACATATATTCCCATGCTGCCAACAAACGTAATAACGTTTTTCTGTAACCAATTTCCATCCATCGTAATCCGCATATGGACAGCAGATTTCGTGCAAAGTGCAAAAATAGTGACAGGTCGCGAAATATAGTGACGCAATCTGTTAAATATGGGGTCGTTCAATAAACTGATGTCGAGAGTTGATTCTTGAAGTGCTTCTTACACGTGCCATACGATACTAGATTCGGATCGATACCGTTGTTCCGCCCGTCTCTTTGCGAGCTCTGTTTATTTGTTTGATTGGTTAAGGCTGCTGTTGATGGTTAACGTTTCACTTGTGACTCGTGTAAAATGTGTATAATTCTGTTGTTGCCACAAAAAAGAATAAACTGATTTCGAAAGTTGATTTCAGAAGTGCCTCTTACACGTACCATACGATACGATTCCACAATGGATTCAATGAATACTGGGTATATCACTGACCGTTCAAAGTCGTTTCTACTTTCTGATGAGTTTCTATTATAACGCTATTTCTACTGTTGTTGCCATTCGATGTTCATCACGCTAACTGCTGAATATCATTACTTGTACTCATTTTATATTATTGCCATATATCTTTTCCGAAACGGTTATTGTACTTTTGAGGGTTTCGATCAGCTCCTATTCCGTAGTACTTGGCAATAAATGTTGCGTACCAATCGCTGTTAACTTCGTTTATCAGGCATCGCGTATTCACGTAGTGGTAACTATCGCCTCGAGCATTCGCTCCTAGTCCCACTTTAGCAGGGTATTAAGGTGGCGTGTTAGGTCCAGCCAATCTCGGCGATATAGAAGAAGTGTAGAGTAGTGTCGTGTCACCAGTTTGCTTTAACGATCCACCATAATGTTGTCAGTATTTTTATTCCCATTTTGGGGGAGAAAATTTTTTTCTGCAATTTACTCTATTTTTTGGATTTTTCAAAAATTTACTCAATCTTCTCAGTATTTTACTGAAATTTTCCCTTTTTTTCGAATATTACACCGATTTTTACTCTGTTTCTTTGGGGTGAACCGAAGTAGGATTTCACGTTTTAGGTGAATTAAAATTCGAGTGCTTTTATCGGTGGTTTATAATTGGAGAATGTTATGGTGATTTCAGTTGTGTCTTAAATATTGTAAATAATAATATTGATAATTATGGTAAACTTCCGTTCAATCTTCGGCAGGAGGCATCAAGTTTCCGGAGGAGCCACCATGACTGACTTACCACATCACCCAGACCATAATATCTCATTGGATGAGGGGTATTCAGGGAGGTGTGGTATGGAGAT